CGTTGGCGGTTGCCAGAATAAGCAACTCTCCTCAAATTATACCTTGTCTTGTGTCCAGAGAGGGAAGAATGAAGGGAAGAGGAGGAGGAGGAGGAGGAGACCCGGGGAGTATAAGAAGGAAGGGATGAAGTAGGTCGCAGGAGTCTGGTGTTCCATTCCTTCACAGTCTTCGATAGAAGTGGGTTCTCCTGCGCACCTTGTACCCGTGTCTCACCTAGCTCCTCCTGGCACAGGTTCCCTGCACCTTTGTCTCACCTAGCTCCTCCTGGCACAGGCTCCCTGCACCTTTGTCTCACCTAGCTCCTCCTGGCACAGGCTCCCTGCACCTTTGTCTCACATAGCTCCTGGCACAGACTCCCTGCATCCTACATCCTTGTATTCCCTGCTTAGCATCCTCTCCTCAAGCTATATTAGCTTGTATGTGAATATCCTTGTATATATGAATCACATTCACAAATACTACCGTAGTTTGTTCTGTTTACAGTACATGGATTTAAACATCAAGCAGTTACAGAACATCATTGTGAGTTGTACTGTAACAGGATGGGCGTGATTGTGGTGATGCTGGTGGTGGTGCTGGTGGTGGTGGGAGTCCTCAGCATCGACTCTACGGACACGGGCGTGTTGCCTCCCGTGGATCTGATGCACAGAGTCGTCCTTGATCCAATGGACAAGTACGTCTTGCAGTGGACGCCCCGTGAGAAAGATGTAATCTTCGAAGTTCAGGTCAGTGTTGAGAAATGTGAGCCGGCACTAACTGGGCCTTCCTTCAGGCTAGTGGTCACTCTAAAGCGCATTAGTCTAATACATAGTGTCTGTTCCTCACAGCCTATATTTCACGGCAGACAGAAAGATTAAGGAGCATGGAACTTGAGTGGCTGTTGGGAGAGTATTTCAGAGTGTTAGTCATAAAGACTGTAGTGTGAAACTCGACTATTTACATAGTTTTCCACAAAATATAATTCACTGTGTGGTAAAAATGAATCTTCGATAGTTTATTCTTGAGGAAACTGAAGGTATGATTTTAGCTGCAGGAGGAGGAAGTGTGTTATTGTTCATGAGTTGTGAGGTTATTCTCCTGCTGCTTCAGGAGGAAGTGTGTTAAGGTTCATGAGCTGCGAGGAGGTTCTCCTGCTGCCTCAGAAGGAAGTGTATTATGGGTTCTTGAGTTGTGAGGCTGTTCTTCTGCAGGTGGCGACGAAGGGATACGTGGGTCTTGGCTTCTCTCCCAACGGCGGCATGAAGGGTGCTGACATCATCCTGGGCTGGGTGGACGACACTGGCAACATCTTCCTCCACGTAAGTGCAGCCAAAGAGAACATTATTACACTGTAATTCTGGTGAAGTCCTGAGGAGCTGTGCAGCTACTTGGAGATGGGAGGTAATCATGTCTGGTCCAAAATAGGGGAGATTATCCCTAATTTCCTGGATCAACACCTTGACGGTAACTAGATCCAGTTATTTTGTAAGTTCTGCATATTGGTTTCTCAAACCATGAAGATTCTTTTATATCAGATGCTGGCGGTACATGAATGATGTATAATACCGACGACATGAAGAATTAGACACACGTACAATATCTGCGTATCTTTATTTGTAGACGTTTCGCCTACCAGCGGCTTTATCAGTACCAGGACATATTGTGAAGACTGTAGAAGTATATACAAAAGAAGAGGTAAATAGTCCCTCAGCTTTGGAGATGGTGAAGAGCACCGTAGTCTCGATGACTCTTCCTGCCTGTGCTTCAGTTATCAAGACTACGGTGCTCTTCACCAACTCCAAGGCTGAGGGACTGATTACCTTACATTTTGTATATAATTCTACAGTCTTCACATTATATCCTTGCCTTGTATTGATAAAGCCACTGGATGGCGAAACATCTACAAATAAAGATATCCAGATGTTGCACATGTGTCTAATTCTTTATATCAGAGGATGTTTTGACCAAAGTGTTATGATAGACTTGTGTTGGCAGGATCGGCACTCCACGGCCTACGGAGTGCCAAACATAGACGAGTCCCAGGATGTGGAGTTGCTGGGAGGTTTCCAGAATGACACCCACACAGTGTTGAGGTTCTCCCGACCCTGGGTCACCTGTGACCCTCATGGTGACCTCCAGCTCTCAGTAAGTCACCCACTCATGGTGGCATCCTGGGGATAGCGGGTGGTTGTATACCATATATATGGCCAGGTTTTGAAATAGGTTGAGGGGTGATAATGTAAAAAATATGCATAAAATATGTAATATACGTTAAAATAAAAATTAACCCAACGTGAACCAGTAAAGGAATGAGTGAGGCAAGTCGTACCTCATCGTAAGATTGATCTTATGTACGTCTTGACTGGCAGGAGGAGACAGTGAGGTTGATATGGTCGTACTCTAGCCACGACCCGATGAACGAGATGACGATGACGAAACACGACGACCGTGGCACCTGGAGTACTCTTCTGCAAGCACCAGTACTCGTCTACCCTGACCTAGACCAGGATGTCAAAACCTGGGATCTTCTCAATCCTAACGTACGTAGCTGTGCTTTCTCGGGATATTCAATATTATTATTACATTTAAGTGGGCGTGTTAAACCCATACGGGTTATACAGCGTCTGGGAAATGGAAAGTGCAATCAGGTTGAAGCCAGAGGTGAGGTCAGGTCAAGACCCAGGACCCCAATGGACATAAGTCACTTTGTCTTACTTGTTTTGGGTAGTTATCCTATATAATCTACACATATGATGCTATGTACAAAGCAACCACGTGGGGGGGGAGAGGTGAATGATAGCTCTAGGCCTTTCGTGTTGCAATCAACACATCATCAGGAACTTGCAATATTTCAGAAAAGAGGAAGAGGTTCCAGCAGATACGATCACAGAGAACACCTTTGCTGGCGCTCACTGTGATCGTATCAGAAGTATGTATCCTTCTCTGTATCAGAAGTATGTATCCTCCTCTGTATCAGAAGTATGTATCCTCCTCTGTATCACTGGGTTCAAATCTTTGGTATGTGTTTCAGGTAACTCTACCTAGCGATCAGTCGACACTCTACTGGTGCAAAATGTTCAAGATTCCTGCCACCGCTGGTAAATCTCAAGTCATCGGGGTGAGTGACGGCTGTGGTGGCGCAGTCTGAATATATATATAAGAACATAAGAAAGGAGGAACACTGCAGCAGGCCTACTGGCCCATACTAGGCACGTCTTTCTCAAACCCAAACCCACTAACAAAAATATCTGCCCAACCCGTTTTCAATGCTACACAAGCTCTGATAACACTATTAACTCATGTGTAAGTCCCACTTAAATCAACCCCTATCAGTACAGTTCTTAATTATCTCTATTGCCGAAACGTTTCGCCTGCACAGCAGGCTTATTCAGTCGAATATAGGCGAAGTGGAGGGGTAATTTGAGGTAATTAGTCCCTCAGCCTTCACACGTCGTCATTTCCTAAATATTCTGCACTCTACTTTCTGTGCCACTGGTGTCTCCACTGAAGCCCACTGCTGAAACTTTATGCCTTATACTTAACTGTGATCCACTGCTTTAATAAACTTATTCCATAAAGTTTGATGTGGACTACTGTTGTCTCCATTGTACCCTGTCAGTCAATGTTGTTCTTCATCCACATGCTCCCTACATGTCGGCTTTAGTCCAGTGCTTCATCCACAAGCTTCCTGAATGTCAGCTTTAGTCCAGTGCTCCATACACAAGCTTCTTGCATGTCAGCTTTAGTCCAGTTCTTCATCCACAAGCTTCTTGCATGTCAGCTTTAGTCCAGTTCTTCATCCACAAGCTTCTTGCATGTCAGCTTTAGTCCACTGCTTCATCCACAAGCTTCTTGCATGTCGGCTTTAGTCCAGTTTTTCATCCACAAGCTTCTTGCATGTCAGCTTTAGTCCACTGCTTCATCCACAAGCTTCTTGCATGTCGGCTTTAGTCCAGTTTTTCATCCACAAGCTTCTTGCATGTCAGCTTTAGTCCAGTTCTTCATCCACAAGCTTCTTGCATGTCAGCTTTAGTCCAGTTTTTCATCCACAAGCTTCTTGCATGTCGGCTTTAGTCCAGTTCTTCATCCACAAGCTTCTTGCATGTCAGCTTTAGTCCAGTTTTTCATCCACAAGCTTCTTGCATGTCGGCTTTAGTCCAGTTCGTCATCTACATCTCTGTACTGTAACTCAGTGGTACACATCTACAACAATAACAATCTCATTCCATGGTTGTACCTAAATAGTGTCTGGGTTAACACTGTGTTCACACCGTTCATCTCTTTCAGTTTGTTCCCGTGATAGAAGAGAGGAACGTACAGAACGTTCACCACGTGTTGCTGTACGAGTGCCACGTTCCTGGGAGTGACCAGCTCAGCAGTAGTCACTATTACGAGAAATGGCTGGAGGTACAAGGAGTACAGTGCTATGGTCCCAGTATGCCAGTCTCCTGGACCTACTGTTCCACTCCTGTGTTCGCCTGGGCTGTCGGCTCGCAAGGTTAAGAGAAACTAATAAATGCATTACACTAATGGGAGAGGCTAATGGATGTTTGAGAGATAGAGACAGACTAATGAATACACGAGACACTGGTAAGTTTGCCTTTCAACGGTGTCTCTTCCTGCAGGAGAGATGTACCCAGAAACTACAGGCCTTCCTCTGGGAGAAGAGTACTCAGGAGCCACGTACTTCCTGATGGAGACTCATTACGATAACCCCAGCCTCCAGCCAGGTGAGCCTCCAGCCAGGTGAGCCACCAGCCAGGTGAGCCTCCAGCCAGGTGAGCCACCAGCTCCTATGCGCCTCCTACAAACCTACACACACACACACTACTGGTGAAATCCTTTTGAATGTCAGACAGTTACTATTATTATTATTATTATTATTAGTAGTAGTAGTAGTAGTGGTGGTTTACCTGGAGTTTACCTGGAGAGAGTTCCGGGGGTCAACGCCCCCGCGGCCCGGTCTGTGACCAGGCCTCCTGGTGGTAGTAGTAATATGTTCGGGAGGAAAAGCACAAAA